GTGACGGGCGACACAGAAATTACGAACTCAAACAATTAATAACAAAAGAGATTAACATTTATTGCAAAAAAAAAACGATTAGCTCACGAGATTGCTCTAATAAATTAAAGAACCGTTGATTCATCTCTCACAAAAGCGAAATCATATAGACGTGAATAATCGTGAGCGTGGAAGAATAATTCAAAAATCGCTACAACCAGGAAAATAATAACTCCGAAAACAAGTCAAAATTTTTCGCGATCTCAGACGCCAAGTTTGCTCCAGACAGTACGCAGGGTCGCGATTGTTCAGAATTCTGTCGCCAGGATAGCGTATCCCCGAAATACGAGGCGCAATATAACACAACGACCGACGGGTCAATAATCAAGCCCGAACGCGACAGGTAACGCGAAATATTTAGGTTTTATCGCGCCGAGGAAATCATCAGCGCGAGAAGAATATCGTACTCAATCTAACGAATTTTTACGGGACATACGCCCTACGCAAAAGAGTACTTAATTCAACGCGAAAGAAAGAGTATCCTCCGAGGAGAATAGCGCTAAACCAGCGCGAGACTACACAACGCAATAATGTCTTGACGGACTTACAGACTAACGCGAAATAAACTAAATCTAACGCAAGAGATGACGAACTTACATACTAACGCCATGTACAACTAAATCTACGCAGGGGAAAATATCTACACGAGGAAAACGCGAATTTGACCGCAAGCACACGAGATTACGGAAACGGCGTAACGCAAAAGAATCATTCTCGACGAATAAACTACGATCACGAGAGTCGCGCGTGACGCACCGCCGGGTAATACGCGATCGCAACCACAGATACCGTAAGAATGTTCGCGAATTACCGAATCGAGATATCTATCGCGATCTCCAGGACTTTCACGCGATGAGTACTATTCACTGGCCACGAGACCATTCCAAAGCCCTTCGCTCTCGCTCTCGATCGCAGATGCAAAATTACGAGATCTCAATTACGCGAGTACTTTAGGCGAGAGCGTGGCCCGGAGGGCGGTGTCGTGGCTTACATTACTACCGTCTATTACGAGGCAACCTCACCGGTAAGATACTTCCTCGGTCGGGGTTGTCCTCTCCGCCGTCACCAAAAGCCGTCGCGAGAGAATCAGGCACCAAGTGCGCAGCAAGAGTCGGTCGAGAAACGCTCAAGAAAGCCGTGCGTGTCGTCCCGAGGGTGGCTCAAGAATGATCGCGGAAGTGCGCTCGATAGAGGCGTCGATCTAACGCCCCTAGCGGGACATGCGCGACCCTTCCGCGCGATAAGCGGACCAATTGGCGATGAGCTCGCAAGCTCGTGTGGGAGCCGCTAGCAGGGTTATCGACCGTAGATTCGGCGGGGCGTTCGAACGTGCCCTTCGCGCTCGCGGGGTCCTTCCAGGTTTCCCCGTTGTAGTAGGCAAGGCGATGACTCCCGCGGTGTCCTCTGGCTCGACTCGGGGGTGGTGGCCATCCACCCCCAGAGTCCGTCTGGCCTCGGAGGACTGCAGACAGGCCCGGCGCCGGGCCCCTGCGATGCACAGGTTCGCCTGCCGTTGCTGGCGCGCAGCGCGCGCGTCTCACGTCGTCCCTCGCTTAGTAGCGGTCCCCGTAACTCGGGCTCCTCGCCCTCGACATCTCGCTTTCGGTCCTTGTGATTCCGTTTATCATCCGGCTCTCCTGGTACTCCTCGTCATCTTCAGTGTGGCGTTGGAACTCCAACTCGACGGGGTGAGGCGCCACGCAATATCGCAAGAGAAAAAAAAACAATAATGAATATTTGAATCGCAACTTTAATACGCCCCTGGAGATCGAAGGTTGATTCGTGAGCCGTCCTCGGGCGCGCAATCCGCGCCTTGTGACGGCGGCGGAGCGCTGCCACGCCGCGGCGAAACCGCAACGTCACAACACCCCACCCCAAGAGAGAGCATATCGGGCGCGATTGCCTCGACTTAGCCACTTGCCCATCCGGGCTCGTTACTAGGACGCTCACGCGACCGAGATCTCCAGTGAAGGGCTTCCAGTACTTGGACGGACACAACGTATAACACAAAAAAAAATCATACGATTGAAATAACAATACGATCAAATTTCGGCCCTCTTCCCACTTGCCGTAAGAACCTCGAAATTAAACTCGAAATGCCTTATTTGCCCTGTTTCCGTTTCGCTTAACTATTTGACACAAGTCGGACTTCTTACTATGGCCTACGATGGCTATGTGCCTCTCGCTTGTTGACGACTGCCTACCGAACTCTAACGCAACGCAAAAACGTGAAATACATCATCGCAACGCGAAGACGTTAAACGCTAACGCAACAACGTGAACATTAGCGCAACGCGAAAACGAAACCTAACGCGAAATACCTAACGCTAACGAGACCTAACGTCAACGAAGGTAGAGAGAGGGGGGGTTGCCCCCGTCTATTCCCGTGGGAGGTAGCCCCATTTTAGCCAAGTACGCTAGCTAGACGTACAAGGCAGATTTGTGTTAGCACAACACCAACGCGAAAGTGGCGTCGACCGCAGAACGAGAGCGCAACACTAAATCCTATCGTGGCTTTTATTCGTATCGTCGGGCTTGCGCGGCAATGCTAACTATCGAACACGATTAACGGCAGGGTTTCTCGCAATTTAAGAGTTAACGAACGGAGGTTTCGGGGTGGGTTCCAGGGTAAGATCTTACTCTAAACGTGGTGGTTAGTAATTTATTGGGTGTCTATGGGAGGAAACGTAACATAACTTCAACATAACATCGAATTTGCGGTAGAAGTACCAAGCGCGGCCACGGTATCGCGAGAATTTCCGCCGGAACGGCGATTCGCGCCTTTAGCTACCCGATATGCGAGATCCGGAAATAAGGATTGCTCTGGCGGGGGAGGTGCCCGATAAGTTTGCGCGGCGCGGCAGCTAGTCTCGGCTCGCGTGGCCCACCGCTCGAGCGCCTTCATATTAGTTACCGCGTCCCGAGGAATCAAAGTCTGTAATCGAGGTAGAAGGTGTCGGTGCGCGTAGCCGACCTTCTCTTCTTCGCGCCACGGCGGCGATAGCCGATCGTATAGCGAGCTGAGGCACGTCAAAAAGTCCGCGACGGGTTCTGTCTCCCCCTGCGTACGCCGCATTATCTCGTCGCGAAGCGCGAATTGGAAGTCGGGGTCCCCGAAGCGCGTACGCCATTCCTCCCTAAACGCGGCCCAGGTAGTCAGGCTATCCCTGATCCCGCGGAACCAATGCAGCGCGATACCCGATAAGAAGAACGGCAGGCATCGTAAAATGTCTGCATCTGAGACGGGAATTAATTCGCGGCCCTCCTCCACGCGCAACAAAAACGTTTCCGCATCTTCGCTGCGCGCGCCCGAGAATTTCAAATTCCATTTACGCATCATGTTATAGGCGTCGGCAGCGGAATTATGGCCCGAGTCCCGAAGGGTCCCATTTAAGCTGTCGTGGTCCGGCGGGGAGCCGGAGAGGCGCGCGATCCTATCCGCGGACGGACTATCCGGGTGCGTATTCCCCGCGGGAACCTGTAGGCATTCTGTATCTACCGGGTGGTTTACCGCGGAGGCGCTTTCCGAGTCTCCGCCGCGACGTAACAAACGTAGTAACCGGAGGGCCAATTCAGTGTCGGTCCCTTCCGCGGATAACCCTCGTCGAGTTAACTCGCCCATCCGCTGTTCACGGTTCGCGAGGAGGATCCACTCGTCGCTAAGTTCGACAGAATCCATCGTAACGCGATGATACTATTCACGGTTACTCTAATCTCGAATTTCTATAGCGCGAGAAACACGAACGTTAACGCGTTCCCGAAAAGGCCACAAAATCGTTCAGTCAAACCGTTCGCGAAGCCAACAACATTCCTCGCTTTTCAATCGTAGCGAGCCTAGCTAAGGATAATACACGCGAATAATAGTATACGCGAGCACTAACACACGCGAGCAATAGTACACGCGAGCAAACACACACGAAGGAATGCGAAGACAACACGCTATAGCGGTGAAGTTTTTCTGCTGGTACGGCCGGCTCGACGTAAACACCGAATTCCGATACCATCACGCTCCGACTCTCACCACATTCTAACGCTATACGCGACTTCGTATAATATCGCGAACTTACAATTTGACCCACCCGAAATAGTTCACCGCGATCGAAACGAATAATTAAGTCCTGAAAGAAAAGGTTAGACAAAATGTGCGAAACATATAATACATGAGAAACACAAAAATATAGCACACATCATATCGCAGAAAACAAAATAATACAAAAATATATCGCATATAATATCGTATTAAGCAAAATAAAACAAAAATGGGGTGAGAAAGTTTCTTTATTTCACACAAAAAAAAATTCTGAAAGAAAAGACTCAATTAATCTGTCGTCACCCGCGCGAAATTATTGTCGCGCTTACGCAAGCCCTTGTCGTGCCTTTCGGCGATCTTTCGGCGGCCCCACGTTGGGCGCCAAATTTTGTCACGACTTTTTACCCGTTCGGGCGCAAAGCCGGATCAAAAGGGAGTTGTGGGAGAGTAGGATGTCAGGCCTCTCCGACGGATCTCTCGCACGAACC